AGAGCCTACGGAGAGTTTACTCCGGTTATTCTTTTTCATGTTAGCATTTAAACAGCAGTTCTAATGATGTGACAGTATGGCAACTTGTCATTCTGACATCAGTGAAGAAATTCAGCATGAGATGTTTACTGGTAAAAGATGGCTCAAACTACAAAGAGTTTCCTGACAGCAGGCTGTGCATTAGAGTTAATCAGAATTTACTTTTGTTGATCTTGATTTTAATCAGAGATAGGCAGGCAAGCAACATGATGTAGGTACCTTGAAAAATCCCCAACTGCACTGCTAGTGCTTGTGCATTAAGCCGCTTTTCAAGCTACAGAATGAAACATGCTATGTCTTGTGTATTAGATTAACAGTGAGTATCTGAACATTTTTTACTTCTATTTAAAATATTATCATTGTTCTGTGGCTTTCCTACTGAGAATACATGCAGTGTATCAGCGCCTTGGGTCCTCATTCTTTCAATATATTTGTAAAGACATTTCTGACAACCTGTGCAATAGCTTGTACAATTATAAACCAACTCTTGTATAATCATGCAATTTACCTATATGAAAAATTCCTGTAGCTGATTAGTAATCCCAGAATTCACTAATGTAATCTACTGAGATGTCCTAGACATGAACATTTGCACTCTAGCTTTTAAAAGTAGATCTATACTTAGCAGGTCTCTGCTGTACCTATGTTTACCTAAAGCCACACCAGAATCCCCCTGGCAGATTGATTTGTTATCTGTCTCACACACAGGAAGCAGTGAGCTGATTACAAATAATCACACAGGAAAACCACCAGTGAGGTATATTAATCTTTCCAAAATCGCAAGTGTGGAATCATTACTGAGAAGTTGGATCAGCCTGTGGCTATACACTTCAAAACGCAAACCCACATCTCATTGACTTGGAGTTTTCCCAGCAGGAAGGCGTAGACTCAAAGAAACAGGAAAAAAAGAGAACAAATCTGGTCTTTGCAGTTCAAAGCTGTAAAAAAAGGGTATCTGTGGAACATCCTGCATCTGTTCTCTTTGAGAATCATTCCCTCATCATATTCTATAGAATATCTTTTTTTTAACCGGTGTTGGTTCTAAACTGATGTTGCATAAGAGTGGCTGACCTGGCCATCTAGTGCATGGGGCTACCACGGGGGGTCAAAGTTTGACATAGAATCTTGATACTTTACTCCCGCTTAGGATAGCAGAGGTTGGGAGCATGCCAAGGCAGTGCTCCCTGGGTCAGGAATCCGTATTCGTCCTGCTCTCCTGGGAAGCACCTACTATTTGCATTGGGCCCCTAACCTGAGATTCAGTAGAGGATTTGGGTCTTTTCTCTACCATGTTGCATGCCAATGTCACTCCACTGACAAAGGATGAAACTGATGGCATTTCAGCCCTCCTCATTGAGACCAGAAATCTCTTCACGGGGTTTTGCATAGTGTGAGTGCAACAGAGGGGCACTCTATTCTGACTGTGACTTAAGCAAGTGAAACAGCTTTCTCATTACTTCCTGTTGTTAAGACTAGCTATGTCAGTCAATAGACTGCATATAAAGACCAACATTTTCAAATGTGTCCACTTATTTTGGACGCCTAATCTGAGATATTAAGGGCCTGATTTTTTTAAAGAGGCTGAGTAGTCACAGCTCCTATTGAATTCACTAAACTGCTTCACAAGTTATTATATATTTTGTATGGGATAAGACACTTCTTAATGTATCATTGAGTAGACAGGGTTTTCAACTCTTCTAATCATATCTATCACATAGGTATGAGAATAATGTTTGGGACAGCCACCCTTCCTTTGAATACCTGTTTGAAATTAAAAGGCTATAAATCAGGGGTTCTCAAACTGGGGGTTGGGACCCCTCAAGGGGTTGCAAGGTTATTACATGGGGGGTCGTGAGCTGTCAGCCTCCACCCCAAACCCCGCTTTGCTTCCAGCATTTATAATGGTGTTAAATATATTAAAAAGTGTTTTTAATTTATAAGGGGGGGGTCGCACTCAGAGGCTTGCTATGTGAAAGGGGTCACCAGTACAAAAGTTTGAGGACCACTTCTATAAATCATGAAGTATGCTATTATTTCCCCACCTGTTGTTTTTAATTTCAAATGGAACCTCTTTTAAATGTACTGGTTTACTAAATTAAGTGCATTTAATGTTACCTTTGTTGGATTTTCTTGCTCCTTTGGCAGTTTCTAAAACTAGCATGTGTATCAACCTTTCAAGGTCAAGAAGATAATCAGGTCAGCCTTCAAGCTGTTATAATTTTTCTGGTCTGTGAATGAGGAGAAGAAATAGATATGGGTGGGTACTATATTTCTTGAAATGCCTTCTTTCTTCCAGTTTAACAAGTGATATGCTATAAAAAGGAAGTTCATATTATTGTTCAGACGAGTTCCCATTTATTCATCATGAAGATTTTAATGGTGGACAGAATCGCATTCTAATGATCAGTGCAGTATGATTTCCTCCTAAAGTTTGCATACAGTTTAAAAGATTAAAGAGAAATACAATACAATGCAATAATACATTTATAAAGAAAAATAGGTTTAATTACTACAAACATGTAATTATTGAATTACCAGGGTAAATTCAATACTTATGGTAATATGGTTTAATCTAAATGGACTTTTTGGGTGTTGTTATCAGATGTATGAGGATGGGAAATGTACCCCTTGGAGTCCTTTATTGTTGACACCAAACAAACCAGCGCTGAATTTGTCCCCTATCTTTTAAGTGGGTAACTCTGAATTTAAAATTTGTAAACAAAAGTATTTTGTTAAGTTTGAACATGTATTTCCCTGGAGTCCAGCTAACACCCAAGAATGACATTGCATTGTCTTAAAAGAAATTCTACACCTTGTTAAGAAAACCTGCCTGGAAAAGAACACTTCAGGCATCCATTTAGTTTCCCCATTTCGCTAGAATCTTTCATCATATGTTATTAACCCATCCAATATACCAGCCACCCAAACTTAACATTGCCTCCTAAAATTTGCATATGTAGACACAGTAGTTGGTATAACAAAATTAAATGGTAACTCATCTGAAAATTGATATCTGAGCTGTCTTATATTGATTCTTAAACAGTAAGGGTATGTCTACACCCAGCCGCTAGTTCGGCGGCTGGCAATCCAAGTTCTGGGTTCGACTTATCGCGTCTTGTCTGGACGCGATAAGTCGAACCCGGAAGTGCTCGCCGTCGACTGCGGTACTCCAGCTAGACGAGAGGAGTACCGCGGAGTCGACGGGGGAGCCTGCCTGCCGCGTGTGGACCGAGGTAAGATCGAACTAAGGTACTTCGAACTTCAGCTACGTTATTCACGTAGCTGAAGTTGCGTACCTTAGTTCGATTTGGGGGGTGAGTGTAGACCAAGCCTAAGAAAGAGGACAGTTGAGCAAATATAGTAACCACCCTTATCTAATTCCTCTCCTCATTCATGCATCAGAAATATTAGAAGTGCTTTTACAGGAATAAGGGAAAGGCAGCCCTTGATATGAAAGCTGTGCATCTCTTGCTGGGTTTTAACAAACGTTCTCCTTGGTTTCAGTTCACATGGTTTCTTGCCTTTTAATTTGTTTTAAGTTTCAGGTTCATTCAAACCCAGCTGTAAAAGGATAACAAATAAGAACAAAGCAGTGTTTTTTTTTTAAGCTCTCTGAATTGCTTATGGATTCGCAAGATATGTGAGGTTTTATTTGACCCAGAAGATGTCTGATGTGACCAGCTATCTCCAGTTTGTTATTAAAACAAAACCCAACCAAGTAATTAAATAGGGTTAGTTGAAAATGTTCAAAATTTGTAATTTTGACAAATTTCATTATCAAAATTTTAACAAAAATTCCATTCTGTTTTTTGACCAGCTCTACAATTAAGTTTCAAAAAATCCATGCGTATCCATGTATACCAAAAAGCTTCATGTTGAGATTCTGTTGAAGGGATGTGTGGCCCAAAAGAGAGGTTTTTGTTCAAAACGGCTGGATTCTCTTACAACTTTCAACGGGAAGTCAGCAGAGTTTTGCATGGGTTCAAGTTTTGTTGGGCAGTGATTCGCAGTCCAGTCAGCTAATCCCTGAGATACTGGAGCCAGGGGATTTCTGCTGCCTTACTCTGTCTCCTTGGCAAATTATGTTAAAATGAAAACATAAAATGAGATGTTGGTTTGGATACCCTGTGGTTCTTTTCTTCTTTAAGCATCTTAGCTGATTTTAAAGGGCTTTAAAAGGGGCCATTGGTTCCCACCTCTCATGTCACTCTCTCCTGAACTTTTTATTTTCTTTTTTTTAGTCTATTGTCAGATTTGCTTGTCCCATCTCTTCCTTTCCTCATAGTATCTGTGATGGTGCTTCTGAACAAGGGACTTGAAAGTGCTGCCTTAGGAAGTCCAAATCCTATGGAGAAAGGTTGAGAGGTTTCCCCACGCAAAAGGCAAAGGTAGCTGTGGGGATTTCTCCTCCTCTTCCTTCCCTCCAAACCCCCATGTAGCTGCCTCTCTTCTCTCTGCAGCCGCTGAGATGGAGACCAGTTCCATGTGGCCAAGAGGCAATGAGGGAGCTAGGAGAACAGCTGGGCCACACAACATGTTGCTTTTCAAATCTGTTGGGGAAAAATGTCACCTCAGCTTCAGAGCAGCAGTGACTCCCACTCTACTCTGGGTCTGCTTGTATAGCGATGATACAAGCAGCAATGCCACAAGGATGGGTGGGAAGACTGGGAGAGGCAGGCTCTCTTCATTATTATTAAAACCTAATGGTGATAGTGGTTGGAAGAGAACTCAGGAGTTCTTGGTTCCCAGGCCTGTGTTCATTCCTTTGGCTGGTGCTGCCTTGATGGTTGGTGTTTCTTTCCCCCCCTTCCCCCTCCCTCGCTCCACAAGTCTAAAAAGGAGTGAAGTCACATCCTGACTAGAATAAGGAAGTACCATTCATCTGATGTGTATTCTCTATATCCTGCACTCTTGCATTTAGTTTGGGTAAAGTCAGACAACTGCTCCTAATCTGGATACATCTGAATTTTAAAATGTTGAAGAGAAAAACTTCCAATGTGTCGGATAAGGAGAAATGTCAAAAACCAAAGGTAAGAGAATGTTATATAATAAAAGAGATACTTAACAGTTTGCAGAGCAGGTATTTTTTGATGCTTGAAAGGGTTGAGCATCAGTCATTCACTTAAAAAAATCATATGCAATGTACAGGCTTTGTAGCATCTATGAAAAGGTTGAACAGGAAAATCTGATATTAAATAACACTGATAGTGTCTCAGGAGCTCCTAATACACTGACCTGTGCTTCATTACTATAATCTCCTGGCTCAGTTTGTATACATTCAGTTTAGTGTCTTCAGTTTACGGAATCTTCATTATGGAACTGCCATTCACACTGTAAAGGGACAAAGCAAAATTTGGAGGTGTCTGTTCAGAAGAGTCCTGCTACTGTTTGCCTAGTGTTGTTTGCCTACTGATGTGTTGCTGCTGTTTTGACAATAGCTCCCACATAAGTCTCCTCTTCAGCCTGTGATAAACCAGGGATGTAGCAGGAAAGTGTGTGCCAACAGAGAGGAGGGGTGAAGGATTAGCAGATGTATTATTTTTTTCCCATTTAAACACAATTGCTGTTTCATAATACTAAAGAAGGAGACAGCACTTGGCAAACAATCTTTTAGTCGGCTGCACTTTGCTGGAAATGTTTATACTTTCAGACTGAAAAAATATGCGAAGTCAATGATAGTATGCGACATTGTTCAACTTCTGCAATCTGAAGTTGGAGGAGGGAGATTAAAGGCACTTGTAGGATGTATAGGAATGTCCTGAGCTAGGAACTGAGCTTCAGTTCCTACCATTGGGTGCACCCTGGCCCTTCCCAAAGTAAAAAATCAAATGTCTTCAGAAATACTTTCCTGAGCCTCTGGAGTAAGTTATCACTGCCAGATATGAAACATGAGACAAAATCTGAAATATCTACCCTTTCCTTCAATTTGGTGGTGCCAGAATTTTAGCAAAGGGCCCCTGCGAGCCAGGGTGACCAGATAGCAAGTGTGAAAAATTGGGCCGGGGGTGGAGGGTAATAGGCGCCTATATAAGACAAAGCCCTGAATATCAGGACTGTCCCTATAAAATCAGGACATCTGGTCACCCTACTGCGAGCCCAGGCCAACATCTCACTGCTCTCAGTAGGGTGCCTACTAGCATGTAGAACTCCCCATGGCATGAATATGGCTCAGCTTGTAACTCTCAGTCCTAAAAGATCATTGAAGACACTTGCTCATCAGAAGAATTTTCTGTTTTAACCATTGTTGGCCTTTCTGTGAAAACACCCCCAGTTCTACGGTCTGATTTATGGACCATTGAGGTAAAGGAGAGTCTTTCCATGGATTTCAATGAGCTCTGGATCAAGCCCTTCCTGATTCACATTTTGTTTTTATAGTTATATATTTTATGCTGTTAAATTATTGTGATGCATTTTATAGGCAGTGAATTAAAATAATGAACAGCTAGTTTTAAATAAATGGCACATGACTAAAACTAAGAAATGAGCATAAGAGAATCAGTTCCTTCTCATTTATGGATGGTTTTGGTTTTCTTCTCAGATATATTCATTAAGGGCCAAACACGACCCCCTTCACTCCTGTGGAATGGTAACTTTCTGAACAAATAGTCCCATTGATTTCATTGGAGTTACTCATGGATTCCACATGGCAAAGGATGGCAGAATCCGGCTCAAATTAAAATGTGGATAGGTGACCACTGAACAATGGCTCTTAGTGATCAATATAAATATAATAATAAATTAAACAAATACCCATGTTCCCTGTTTCAGTTGACCTATTCTGCTAAAGAGTTCCATGAACACCTATGCTGCTATACAAATAAATAAATAAACAGTGAACAAGCAAACAAGGAGTTGTAGCCTTAAGTCACTTTAATGAGAATGAAGAGCCCATACCTTTAATTTCATTTTATTCTCCAAATCAAATGAATTTTACATTGTCACTTATATCAGAAACTCAGTAACACCTAGTATAATCATACTGTTCATACGTATCACTTCTTCTGTGATACTATGTAGTTCTAGAACTTCAGCCTGAAAAGAAGCTTGCTTGTTCTGGGTAAATCAGTCTGTATCCTTTTTTCATCACATTGGCACTCTGCTCTGGATGCATTTCACTCATCTTACACTCACTTTGGACACTGATTACTCCAGCTGCAAGGCAGAGAAGAATTAGGCCCCATTGTGTGAATGTCTCTCAATGGGAGCATTTTGCTGAGCATCTGAGGATCATGGTATTAAGAATGGAAAAAGAACATAACATAACATAACTCTAAACCATTGTTTGTCATCGTGCATTTTGTAACTTGTTCTCTCTAAGCAAGATAGTTACCTAATTTATTTGGTGAGCGGTTGGGAAATGTACAGGACGCAAGTCAATGGCTTATGACAACATTTACAAAATTTCATAACGGATTTCCCTAGATATCATCCTGGTTACCAGGCTTTACCCAGTCAGCAGTCTGTATCCGTTTATGCACATTACAGCCAGTCACGTTTGTCATCATTTTACTTTTGCACATTAATTTACAAAATTTCCATCACAATTCCCTTTTCAAATCTTTATTTTAATATAAATGTATCATGCATGTGAGGTCCATGAAGAATGTCTAATATATGGTATAGACTTAGATTGCTGAAGGGAAATCATGTGAGGTTGGGGGTGGAAAGCCTTTTCTAAACAGTCAGCTGCCCCTGCGCTTGGCTCATATAGGTGGTTGGCCAAGCAAGTGCTCCATAGAGAGACTGGCAGCTGGCCCCCAAATTGTAGTGAGATGTACATCAGGGTGGGTGTGTGGATAAGTGTTCACTATGAAAATGCACTTTTAGGGTAGCTATTCTCTGGGTTATATAGAGGGGATGCCTGTAGTACTGAAGCAACAGTAATTACTTTCCTACAGTCAGTAGCAAGCACGGTGTGTGTATGTGTGTGTGTATACATAATACACCCAGTCAATATATTCTATGTAATGTGAATGAACAGTCATGTTTTGAGTCATGTCACGTCTTGTATCTGGTCTCATCCCAAAGCTGAATGTTTTCTTTGAAAGTTTAAGGAAAACCTCTTCTCCCTCTTCTGCGTTCTGTGACAGTTTTCTGCAAGTCTGCTTAGCAGGTCAATAGACTATCAGGTTACATTGTGAGGGTGGTCTCTAACGAGGTAAGAGGAAGGGCCAGATCCTCAGCTAATGCATATCAGTATAGCTGCATTTACTTCCTGGAGCTACACCATTATACATCAGCTGAGGACCTGGCCCAGAAAGTTGTTATTTTCTGCTTTAAAAACTGAAAGCTTAAAAAATTTCAGAATATTGCAGAATACAGAACAGAATGTAGAAGGACCCTACAGTTGTGAGGTTCATTATATTTTTTTTCATGCCCACACATATCTAATTTCTTTCTGTCTAGGTTCTTACATGGTTTCTTATCACGATGGTATCTGAGTCCATAATTATAAGTGCATCTATCAAGATACATTTCTCTCACTACTCCCTCTCCCAGCCCCCTTCTAGTCAGTGGGGACTGGACTTTGTTTATTTTGTGTTGCTGTTGTTCTAAAATGTCACATTGTGGGCAGGTTAAGGCAAAGAAAAATGGTGGTTTGCATTTAGCTTTGAAAGATCTGAGCTCTGTGGTCAAACTGATCTCTCCGAGAGTAAATTTCATGGGCTAGTTGTAGAGACAGCTCTGTCTCCTCTCCACACAAGTTTCAGCTACTGCCACCAAAGAGGTTATTTTTAGGGCAGCTAGTGGGGAGGTGAGTGGATGCTCTTTACAGAATGTGTTTCAGTGACACAGTTACAGGTTTATGTAAACTTTCCCACCAGCAACCCCTGTGCCTGTCCCCGGACAAGGAGAATGTGTGTGGTATCACAAAGGGCTTTGTTTAGAGCCTGGACCCTGAAGTCAACAGGAGTCTTTCCACTGACCTCAGTGAGCTTTTGATCACTTCCTTCAAACTCTGTTATAATCTTAGTAGGCACCAACTGTCTGTGCTCTGAAGTGATCTTTCAGTCATTTAGAATCATCATTTTGATTCCCTCCCCTCCCCATCCACAGACCCACTCTCTGCCAAACCTAGCAAAGGGGCTATTCACGTGCAACTAGCCAGACGTCAGCTGTGTCTGCTATCCTGGTGCAGGGGAAGGAAGGATAATTTCATCAGAATGCTTCTACAGGACCTGACATTCCAATGCCATGCACCTTGTGCAGTCTCACAAACTTGTGCAACATGAGCGTAAAATGCTAGTACTGTTATTAGGCAGTGTTTTACATCCACTCTGTACTTGCTTTGCCCAGGTGTACATGACAGCACAAGGAGAAGATAGTGTCTATTCTGTACAGTAATATAGCTTGTAAAGTGCAGAGAACTGTGGACCATAACTAGTCCATCTCTTGTTTCTGCCTCTGAAATTTATACAGTTAGGTAGAGAATGAAGGGATTCCTCTTGCTTCCACTCCAATCTGAAGCAAGCCTTACCTTATACCTTTTTGGACTTGGTTGAAGCAAGTTTTGTCGTCTATATTTATTTAGGATTACAGCTGCTCTAGCTTTATGTTAAAGCTAGAAGACATTTTGTTGTTTCATTCTGTTTTCAAATATGCTTCACCTACGTGGTGCTTGAACCTCCATCTATACAAGGTGTGAGACCGTACAGAATCATGAAGAATATATTTTCCCTATTTATCTCAACATTTGTTCAAACTGCTTAATAAAGTCCCTGTGAGCTTGTTTGCAGGATACACTGATATTATTAATTTTCAGAGCTCGAAAGGTACATATGAAATAACATGGCCAATCTGATCTGAGCTAAAATATTTCACTGTAAAGCTATTGTACTCTAGCACTGTATCACACCAATAGTTTCCCTTCTTATACATTTTTCTTGAAATCCTGGCCCCCGGTGTAGTCAATGCCAGAAATTTCAGTGGGACCAGGATTTTACCCTTTATATGTGTTCTTGACGTAGAGAGTGATGCTGCAAACACTTACATAAATAAGTTTGCCCACAGGAGTGGACTCATTACTCAC